TAACTAATATAAACCTACAAATAACTTAATAAAAATTAACTAGCATTAGGCTTTGTTATAAATATATATATAAAAAAAAGAAAACTTTTTTTTTTTTTTTTTTTTATACTTAGACGATCTTGTCCTTCATTTTATTAAGAGAATTACATCAAATGTAATAAAGCAAATACAAAAAATTAAAAAAAAATAAATCTATTTTAATCTTAAGACTGCCTTCTTTTTGCAATTCTGAACTCATTCAGCTGCTTTCAAGGTGCCTAATTACGATCTGCTTCAGCAGCAATTTTCTTCCCAAAACAAGAGGCGTATTAACATATGCTACTCCTATCTTAATCAAAAGAAGGCCACTCCTAGTCTATATCAAAAAAGCCTAATTATTTATTTTTAAACTTTAGCTATCTATCATATTCTCCTTTTTTGATCCAATTTGTAATTTTGACTTTTGCTTTTTCCAGAATCTTTTTTTTTTTTTTACTCATGATTCCTCCTTTTTTACACTTATATCTATAACATTTTCCTTGTTTGCAGAGCTTCTTGAATTCTGTCTTTTTACTTTTCTTTTTTTCTTTTATTGGTTAATTCTTTTTTCTTTTTCCCAGTTAACTATTATTTTGCACTGAAACTTCTATAGTCTCTCATAAAAGTTTGACCAAAAAGAGTCTATAAACTAATTTACAACTTGGTTTGCTTTGGAATGTGATTCTAGAAGTTCTTTGGCTTTAATGATATGCTTTTTACTAGTCAATCCTCAGAGATATAATTTTTTTCTTTAGATTTTGTCTTCTTATTTGATTTCTAAAAAGATCTTAACTAGGTTTTCACTAGATATTGAGATGTCCCACCTTTCTAAAATCTTGAGACTCAGCTCCTCTATAATTATTACTTCTACATGTTTCCAAATATTTTAATAGACTTCATACTTCACAAGATAACTAAATGTTTTTTTAGTTGTACAACAAGCTATGCAGATTTTATCTCTATACAAATCAGGTCTTCGTTGGAAGCAGATATTATGAGTTGGCAATAGCTTATTCATATACTTAATTCTAAACATCAAAGTTTTCTTTTTTTAAGGCTCATGCTTCTTCTACTCTAATAATATTTAAACACCTTCTATGTACCTTTCTAATTTATATCTTCAGCTTCACTATTACTAGGTCTGGTATTGATTATATCTTTAGAACTGCTCAATTCTGCCTATTCTGTACTATATATTACAGCTGTTGCAATATTTACAAAAGACCTAATCGAGCAGTCTATAAGCTTGTCTTCCTATTTAAGTAGAACTCTAAAATTGTTAGTATTAATATTCTCTACTACAATAGATCTACTTGAGTTTAAGCCATCTTTTGCTAAAGTAGTAGCTATGTCATTCTACTGGTTGTTGCTATGCCCTTTAACTTTAATAAAGCTAAGGCTAATACCTTTTGCTTTGTAACATTTGTGAATTTGTCATATCAGACTTCAGTTTTTAGTTTTGAATATCTTACGTATATTCTAACCTAGTCTCTTTTTTTGCAGTTCTTCAATCGCTGTTTTACTATCTGAGAAGATATTTAGTTTTGAATTACAAGGGACTGCTAGCACTGCTGTCCATATTGTACTGAGTTCAGTACGAGTTGAGAAGGGCCAGTCTGCTAAACTACTACTAAATCTAATATAATCTATACTATTTGCTACTTCATAAGCTACTACTCAACCTATTCCTATTTTGCTACTCTCTATGCTACTTATTTCTCTAGTTATAAGAAACTTATCTGTATAAATATCTAAATTATCTCTACTTTGAAGCTTCCCCGCAATATCAATAAGCTCTATTTAAATACTCTTTTCCTTGATTACTCTTTGTATTATTGCTTCTTCAAAGTTCAGTATCTTTATCTGAATATATACTTGCATACTCGCTTCATCTGTTATGCTAGATACTATATACTCTAAATAGGCTAGTAAAGGTAGCCTTAGCTCAGTGATCTGTTCTTCTTTTCTTATTACCCCCTTTAGAATTTGATGCTGCTTGCTTGTACTCTTTGAAATAAGACATTTAGTGTCATTTCTATTACCCAAATAACAGCCTTTGTAATGAACAACTCTTGTTTTCAGAGAACTGCTATCTTCAACTACTTTCCAATGAGCTAATACTATGCAACCTTTTGTCTTTTTTATTATTTTATCTACTATTACTCTTTCATTTTCTTTTAACAGAACCTATTTTTTCTTCCTTCTGTCTATACTTACTTTCTCCTATTTGGTTTTTTGCACCCATATATCACCCTCGGTCCTTTGGATTTTTATTTTCTCTCGATTGTGGGGATTCAGCGGAAAGAGTTGTATATATACTATTAATTATATATTTTATATATGTATTAATTATATTATATATTTTATTAATGATAGTTGTAGCATATATAGCTATTATAATATATATAGCCTATTATATTTCTTATATTTTGTAAAGTATAAAAGCAGCATATATAGATCTTGATTTTATTATTGAGTCTTAATACTCTTTTATAATAAAACTACTTTTCTGATACTTTGAAATAAATATTTATTAATATTTTCATATATCTTTAATTATTGCCTCTTTTATAATTACAAATTACCTTAAATTTTCTTTATTAAGTTTTATAAAAATACTCTAAAGACTTTGACAAAATATAGTAACAAAGGATATTATATAAAGTATTTTCTATTATTAGTCTCTTTAGTTAGTTATTCTCTCTAAAGAAGTAGAAATAATATAACAATATTAATAAAAATTTGAATTTTTGTCAAAAATACTATTATAATATAAGAACTCTCAACTTGGTTTATATTTAAATTCTTAGATAGTATTATTGATATCAAATAAGTTTTAATATTTAAAATTCTAAATTTTTTAAAATAACTTATCTACTATACAAAATTTTAATATTTGCTATTCTTATCTATATACTACATCAAATTATATACATTGTTTAAATACTAAAAATACTATACATATTCTTCTTTGCAAAAAAAAAACTCTAATATTTATTAATCACTTATTAATATTATTAACAACTTACTAACTTTGCTTAAAATTATAACAATTACTGCTTCTATTTTTTTAAATATTCTCTTATACTTTACTCTAAATTCTTTAAATCCTCAATATAATTATATTCTTTTTGCAATTTTTAAAATTTTATACTTATAACAATTATTAATTTTAAAGCTTTAGTTCAAAAACAAACAGAACTACTTTTAATCAATCTGTTAAATAATCTTCTAAACTAGTTCTATTAAGATATATAGTTTCTATAAAATTAATATTAATATTAATAAAAATTAGCTTAAAACATCACTTCTAAAACTAAATATACTAAATTCTCTTATTTAACAACTTCTTTAATATTGAATACAAATATTATATTAAATCAAACAAATAATTTTGAACTTGAAATCAAAAAATAGTTTTTACAAAGCTTTTCTCTAATAACTTTAAATTTATAATATTATTATTAATATTTTTGTTTTTTTCTTACCTTTTTTAAACTAAAATTTATTTTTTTTTTTTTTTTTTTTTTTTTTTTTTTTTTTTTTTTTATTAAATTGATAATATCAATTAGGAAGGAAATTAGTACATTTATATAACAAGATAGTATATATGTAAAGCTAATATATATTTCTAAAATCTACTGTTGTTACTAAAGCTATATAATAGTTAGTCATTCAGTATAATATTACACCTTCATTTTTTATTTGTTAGTTAATTTAAATCTAAGTTACTATTAGCTATAGAAGAGGGAGAAGAAAACCTCAAAAAATTTAATTTGAAATAGTTAAATATAATATTTAAATAAAAAATAAGAGATATAATATTATATTAGATACCTGTTTATCTAAAAGTTAAATTTATATAATACAAATATAATTTTAAAATCTTTAATATAGAACTTATATTCTAATTTTAAAATAAAGTTTCTACTATGATATTATTTAAAAAAAAAAAATAAAAAAAAACTATTTATTTTCTTTTTATTTATATTTGTTTTAACAATTCTAATTATATTAAACTATTCATTTATTTTTATAGTATTCTATTAGCTAGTCTAATTTTATACTATCTTTTTTTAATTATATATTTTGATTTTAATTTTTTCTTTCTATTTATATTTTGTTTTTGTATTCATACTTCTATTAATACTTATTTCTCAATCCTTAAATCTCTATTCTCTTTCTGATTTAAAATATTATTAGCTTTTTTTGTATACTTAAATTTTCTTTTATAAGTAATATAAGCCTTTTGTAGTTAGACTTTAACAACTTTTAGAAGTGATTAAAAAATTTATATTTCTAATTATTTACTCTTTTTCATTATACTAACTCTCTATAATCAAGTTGAAGTTTTTTCTTTTTTACATAGTTTTTTGTTAAATATTTTAATTAAATAGGAAAATAGTAGAGTTATTCTTATTTAGTATAGTCTATAATTTTTAAAGCCTATCATAGGCTTATAATAATAATTTATCTGTTATTTGTGAAATGCAAATTTCATATCTTTTTTTCTTCTTTTATTCTTTTCACTTTTATTTCTTGATTTTTATCTTTTTATCATTTACCTCTATACCTCTTTTTGTTTTTTTTTTTACTTATTTAAAAATTTTTTTTTGTTTTTTACTTCTCTATGAAAAGATATCATCAGATTAGTAATATCCTATTATAAGGCAGCAGTCAGATAAAGCAGTCTATCTCTATTTGAGATAGTATAGCAAGTTATACTTAAGCCTTATATAGAAACTGAGTAATACTAAACTTAGGAAATTAGAAAAATTTGTTAAAATTTATATAGTTTCAAGAAGTCTAATAAAGTATTAATATAACTGTTTAAAGAAAAAAAAATTACTTACTCTTTTTTCTAACTTTTGAATAAATTATACTATAGATACTAATAATATATTAGAGTCTTCTTATATCTTTTTGTTGCTTTTTTATTCTCTGCTATTTTCTGTTCTTTTTTTTTATTATTTTCTTTTTTTTTATATTTTCATATCTTTTTTTTTCTTATATTCACTTTTTTCTTCAGAGCTATTACTTTTTTCTTCTTCTTTACCTAAATCTACTTGTTTACTCTTTTGATTTCTTTAATTTTGCTCTATACTTGTTTGCTTTTATTCTATTTTATTCTGTATCTGTTTATTTATATTATATTCTGTATTCTTTCAGAATAACTTTGAATTATAATATTTTATACTATACTTTCTTGATTGCTCTAAGTTTTTTCTATTTTTAAATATAACTACTACAAATTCTTTATTATTTCTATTTGTATTTTTGAAGATATAAGTAGTTTTTGCTTAAGTATATCTAATTTGTCTAAAAAGTAGTACTTCATTTGCTTTTTTTTAGATATTAAAGAGTTTTATAGTATATTGTTTTTGATCTTTAAGAATTTTTTTTTTGGTTTAATTCTAGTATTATATATACTAAGATATTGTTTAGAAGAGGTATAGCCTATGCTTTTATTTTTTGATTATTTATTTTACTTTTTTTGAATATAATTTCTGTTCTTATTTTCATCTATTCTTCTTATATTATTTTGATATTCTTGATTCTTCCTATATGTATTACTGCTTTGAAAACTTTTGTTTTTGAAATATATAGAGAAATATCTCATACTGCTATTGTTTTCTCATTATTATTTCTTTTTTTATTATTTTTAAGAACTATTTGATATAGATTTCTTTTTATAAACTCTTTTACTTTTCTGTTCTTTTTTCTGTATAAATATTTTCTTTTTCTTTTATCTTTGCTATAATTACTTTCTTTCTTATTTGCTTAGTATTTAACTTTTTTTTCTTTTTCACTCTCTGTTTTATATAGATTATTTCTTATTTGTATCTTTATACTAGTTTTGTTATATTTTTTTTATATACTATTTTTCTTTTTCCTTTAGTCTTAGTATTATTTTTTTTAGTCTCTTTGTATTCTATATTTAGTTTTTTTCTTTTTTTTTGATCTTTTTAACTTTAGACTTGCTTGTTTTTTCTCTTTACTTTGCTTTTCTTTAAGCTACTTTTAGCTTTTGCTTTTTCTTAATTAATTGTATTATTTGTCTCTATTTTTTTCTTAATACTTCTTCTAGTATTAGATTCAGCTACTTGTACTCTTTTTTTTTATTCTCAAATTATGCTTTTGCTTCTTTATATATTTTCTTATAGTCAAAATATAATATGTACTATAGGTTTTATTTTGCAAACTTTTCATATATCTCTTTTAAGTACTTAGTTTTTTTCAGAGACTATCTGATATATTTTTCTCTTTGCTTTGTATTATCTTCTAATTTATTTATTGCTACTATCTTATTTTTGATTTTACTTTTTTCTATATTTGTGAATACCTATATACTTTTATTAAGTAATATATTTCTATATCTTACTCTAATATATTCTTCTAATTACTTAAACCTTTCTTTAAAGATATTATCTCTTAGTCTTATTTCAAAGCTTTTGTTAATTATTCTAAAGTCTTCTATTTCTTCTATAAATTATCTTTGTTTATTAATTTTTCTTTGTTTTTTAGAATTTTAATTTCTATTTCTAGACTTAAAGCTTCTTTTTTTTTTTTTTTTAGTGATCTTGTCTATCATTTTATTAATGAAAAGCTTACATATACTACAAAATAAATTACTATCTAAAATATAATAAGATACTCTCCTTCAACTATTTTGAACTCACTCAGCTGCCTTAAAATACTCAAATATGATCTGATGTAGCAACAATTTCTCTTACAAAGACTTTAGTCTGCAGATACAGACTCTAGACCTCTAATCTGTGAAAGGCTACTACTAGCCTATATCTTTTTTTTTAACTTAGGCAATTTTGCCTTTCATTTATTAAAAAAAAATATAAATAATAGTATAGCAGAAATATGAACTAATCTAAACTAGCTATGTAACTGCTTTTTTTTTCTAATTCTAAACTCACTTAGCTACCCTAGGTATTCAAGTATGATCAGCTGCAAAAATAAATTTTCCTTCTACTAGAGCAGTTTGCCCAAGCAAAGTTATACTCTAATATTCTATGGAAGGCTCCTTTGTATCTATTTTAAGATTCTTTAGTTATTTTTAAAGCTTAACTAATTTTCTTTTAGCCTTTTTTCAATTCATGTTTTAACTTTAGCTTTAGCTAGGTTTTGAATTTTTTTTTTCTTGCCTCTGCTTGTTTCTTCTTGATTATTCTTGTTTGGGCTTTGGTTTTTTTTATTTGTTAAGTTTTCCTTCTTAGACTTGTAAAACTTTCATTTTGCTTTTTTCTTTATTTCTTTAAACTTGATATTATTTTTTTCTTCTCATTCTAGCATAACTTCATAGTAGAATTTCTATAGCTTTTCAAAAAATTAGACCAGAATATCTCTGAAAACCTATTTATCACTTTACTAATTTTAGAAGCAGATTCTAAGATATTTTTAACTTCTGTTATAAGATAATTACTAGCAAAGCCTCAAATATATAGCTTTCTTCTACTATATATCTCAGCTATATCTTGATCTATGAATATTTTCTTTAGAGTTTGATCTGAGATAATTATATTCTACTTATTTTCAAGCTTTATACTCAGTTTATCTATAATGAAACCTTTAATTCTTCTCCAAATTCTTTGATATATCTAGTATTCTGCAATATGTTCTAAAGATTCTTTTTTTGCAAAGCATGCTATACAAGTTTTACTTTTATATAGTCTAGAGTTTCTTTGAAAGTAGAAATCTTTAGTTGGTAATAACTTGTTAAGACATTTTATCCTAAAGATTAGAACTTTACTTTTTTTGATACTAGTGCATCTCTTTTTCTAAAACTTCTTTAGCAGACTCTATGTATTTCTCTAGTTCAGCTCTTTATTACTTTGTGAGTTCAATCTTTGGCCTAGTATTAGTTTAATATTACTCAGATCTACCTATTCATATTCATATATTGTTGTTGTGATTATATTAACAAATAATCTGAGAGGACTGTCTATTAGCTTGCTTTTCTATATTAGTACTACTCTTATGCTATCTGCTATAATATTTTGTACTTCTAATACCAAGTTAGATACAAGGTCTTTTTTCACTAACTTATTAGCTTTATCATTTCAGAAGTTCATACAATAGTCTTTAACTTTAATTAGCTTCAAATCAATATTTTTGGTTTTACAGCAATTTATTATTTGGTTAATTAGACTATGATTCTTGGTTTTGAATATGCTTCTTATGTTTACTTGGCTTTTAAAATCTTAGATTCTTTCTATTACTATTTTGCTATCTGAATATAGTCTTACTTTTATTTCAGCAAGTATTGCTAGTAAAGCTGTTCAAATTGTATCTAGTTCAGCTTGAGTTGAGAAGGGCTAGTCAACTATTCTACTATTAAAACTAATATTACAGTATTTTCAATACTATTGTTGCAAACTATAATCTATCTTATATCTATCTTTTTTCCTTCTTTATATTTTCTGTAATCTGTTACTAATGATCTATCTGTATAAATATCTGGCTCTTTTTTACCTATTAACCTTTTAGCAATTTAAATTAACTTATTTTGTATCTCTTTATTACTAATTACTTTTTGAATTCTAGCTTACCTCATCAAACTCAACAATGATGTTATCATTAACTAATACAACAATAACAATGATCACAACAACAATACTATTACCTGATATAGAAATAGAACAAACAAAAATTCACACACCCTATTCTGATAATCTTAGTACTCAAGCCAGTTTCCATGATCATATGCAAGGAGCTTAAACAGAAAGTACAGAAACTGAATCAGTTGATACGATACAAGGAGATAAAACACAAACCAGAATATATAGCCAGGCACTAATAGGTAATACTCTTAACAGCTCTAATCAATTTAATAGAAGCAATATTAAGTGAAGACCAATAGATGACAGGGAACAAGAATAGAAAGACCAAATTGAAATATCCTTAGCAGAATGGTGAGAAGAAAATTTTTTAGCATTTGATACAACTATATGGAACTGAAACAAAATTATTGAAGCACTAACATCTTTGGAAGCCCTAAAAGAATTCGTAGTATATAAATTAAATACCTTACCTAACCAAATATATATTCCAGAAGCTATCAAGGCAAAACTCTACCATAAGGATATAGTATTCTTCAGAACCTTTACATGTGCTCTAGCTAATAGATCCCAACATCAAGTAGAATTTAATTCACTATTCAACAAAGCACTTGAGTTATACAAAAAACAACATAATATACTCCAAACAAACAAAAACAACTGAGACCAGATATTTGAGAAATTAAGAGCCAAGTTAGCTTTAGATTACCTAATAATATTAGACTTCAATATGTTAGATACTTGGGAAATTACACAATATATCTACTTTCGCAAAAATTTTTTTTGAAGGCAAAATAGATTTTGACATACTCAGGAAAATAGTCTTTAGTGCAATAGAACAAGCTTGTATTCCTCTGCCTAGCAATCCAGAACAAATATCAGAATCACTAAAAAAAGTGATCCCATTCAATCTGCTGATTACTAATAGAGCTATATTAGCACCAGTATCCAGAGTACTGCGAAAACTATTCACATTTGAACTAATACCTGAATTTTATATTGAAGACAACAGACTCTCTTTACCAGAATACCTACACTTGCTAAATAAAGCAGTAAAAAATATATTCCCAATCACTTGAAGAGTCAACCTGAAAAACTTAGTTACCTATCGAGATAAATTAAGAGAATATTATACATTCTGAAAAATACCTGCTGACTATTTTGATCTACCAGCTACAAAATCAGCATTACTACTTATACCTCAGGAATTACTACGTAGACTCCATAATTTTTTTCCATTTCTTCCAAAGAACTCAAAGGATTTTAAACAACATATACATATGTTATGACAGGATTTTGCATTTACCAGACTCCCTAATGACTATTTTATCCAACCTAGATATTTACTATTGGAGCCTACTAACTTGAAGCTAGAAACAGAATTCATATTCTAATGAAAGATAAAGAAACAGTATTACATTTTCTAGAAATACTACCTTTAACATACAAAATCCCAATGCCATTACCAAAAAACTACTGTGAATGCAACTATACTGAACTCTCTGAGTTATCAAGTGATCCAAAGGACGTAACTGCAATTAACCTTATATTGCCAATCTCATCTCCTAAAGAGCTTACAATTGCTACAAGAGCACTAAGAGAACACTACTTTTTCTACAGTATACTGCAAGAATGGATAAATATTCCTATGAAAGAACCTAATACAAACTCTAGAAACCTACTTTCAACACTTAAGGAACTACAAACTATAATAGAAAAAAGAGACATAAAAGATATCTGTATACCTATTACAAAACATCAAAATATACCAAACACTCTAGGAAGAATTAAAGAGTATTTCGACATTAGCTATTTTCCTAATTACATCTTTGAACTCTCTGACTTATCTTCTTCAGATTGGGACATTTTTATAGATTCACCTATCAATACATTACCAACTCTATCAGGTTCTTCAGAAGCAGAAGTAGAAATGCAATACAATTAATCATGTCTACAAACATAACGAACAATACACCTCCACTTATGGATATAACATCTATATCAAATATTAACATCAAAGAAAAGATAAATATAATTATATACAATATAA